CAATATCCCAAAAGACCTCTTGCTTAATCTCAGCTCACTGCCAAATCAGCTCTGCAAAAAAGCCAGCAAGCCTTTTCCATCTGCTTAGCCCAGCTTCTCCTTTGCAAACTCCCGATTGCCACCAGACAGCGTGGAAAGATTATTGTGCTTAACCCGGGCTTAACTTAAAGGGGGGGAAAGAGAAGATGTGGTAGACAGACAGGTGCAAAGAGGATATGCAAAGCCTGGGTTTCAGTCCAAATCTGTAATTTGATTGTATTTAATGCAGCTACTATAACCTCTATCCATATTTTTGTTCAAAGATTTGGTGGGGAAGAGACAGCTTTAAATAAACCCAAATGCAGGGGTGGTTTTTGTTTTGTTTTGTTTTGGTCTTTCTAGAATTTCTGTACACGTCTTTTTCCAAAGGTGGATTTTTTTGTTTGTTGCCCATTCCCCACTGCAGTACATCTAGGCAGGATGAGACATTATTAAAGCACACTAGTGAGACGGGGAAAAAAGAGAGAGAGACTGACTGAAGGGCAAAACTGGCATTAGAAGAATTCTGCTCTTTACAAAACAGGATCAAAATAAGCAAGCTTTTTCCACCCAGCTGAGCCAAATATTACTTAGATGCCCATCAAAGGAGCAGGGTGTCTTGAGTGAAACATATCCAATTTGCAAGATTCCCTTCGTTTTTCCTTCGCTGGGCAAGTTCCCCTCTCACAAACTGAAGCTCAGGCATGCAAAAAGGAAATTGCTCGAATGAAGCTTACAATCCTCTCTACAATCTGTCTAGGTCGGACCAGAAGCAGCTCAAACCTAAAATGTTTGTTCTATGCCCCCAACCTCCCAAAATGAAGTTAGACATCAAATTCTACAACTCGCTAGGGGCAATTAGCTGAGAACAACTGGGAGCAGTGATTGTAAAGGCGATTATAAGTATTATTTTTACACCCCTCCAATGGAAGCACAAATGTGAGGGTGCACAGATGGAATTACTGAAGCCTACAATGGTGTGTGGAAGAGATTATGGCATTCAATTTTAGTTCTTTTCCACATGTTTTGTTTTTTTTTTTTTTTGGTTTGGTTCTCTATTCAGCATTGTGAACTTAAGGAAGGTGGGATGAGATCAGAAGTTGCCCATTGCCCATTATATTCATCCCTCTGTTAGCTACTTGCAAACCAGTGGAGAGCAGTTTCATTATCTGTATTCTGGAAAGTTAGGGTTTCCTTGCTTTGAAAGGGGAGGGACAGCCTCAACTGCCCGCATTGTTATGTAATTTTAATTATATATATATATATATATATATATAAATATAACACACACACACACACACACACACACACACACACATACACACATCAATGTCAACGCTCAGGGTCACGCAAGACAGATATTCCAACTCTGAAACTTTTTTCTGCAGCTGCCTGAACTCGAAATTTCAACTCTTCTTCACATATCATGGATGTGCTATTGATTTCAAGCCGTTTCCTGACACCAAGAGAAAACTTAAAATTGAAGCCCTACAGAAAGTCCACAACTTATTACCAATTGCGTAGCAGCTGTTCGAAGTACTGACGGATGTCCCCAGGGTTATTTACAATCTGGTTTTTGAAGTTCCAACAGCTACCCCTGCCACCATCCTTGTGATCTCGTGATCAAATTTTGGGGTACTTGGCAGCTAGCTCATTTTGGCAGTGTCCCATGGTCATGTGACCATGCTTTAGCATGCTTTAGCCAGAAAAAAATATTTACTTCCGATTTCCAACAAAAAGGTACAGTGGATCCAATGGATGTGTTTAATGACTGCAGTGTTCGCTTAACAGCTGAGGCAACAGTCATTAAAACTCGAGTGTAATCACGTGGGTGACCTGCTTAATGGCTTAATTCTGGGCTAAATTATGTTTGCCAAGTCAAGGACTACCTATAAACTTCAGATCAACAAAAATCTTGCAACTGCTAAGACAAAATGACAAATATTAACTTTAGCCCACACGTGATTTGACCCACTTTCCATTAGGGCACAATCACACTAAGGTGATGGTCTAATTGTGGTGTTATATTGTTCCACGTAAGCATGTTTTAAGCTTTATTGCTCCTGGAGAGACACTACCTCTAGTAATTATACATGTAATTAGTATTCCTATTGTACAGGGGAAAAAACACTTCAGGACTTCAGTTTTAAAGCCTTTACTATTTTTTGAAATTCTTAACTAGATGGGGTTAGAAACCTTTCTGGTTACAGGTATTGCTTTTTGAATTTTTTTATTCATTTATTTGTAGCTTAATCACTCTGCATAGTGGAGTGCATGAAGAAGTTTTAGACTAAGCCTTTGTTACGGCAATAAAGGTCATACTTTACACCAAGAAAGAGATTGCACTTACCAATCTCTTCCAGACTGCTACAAAGCCAGATTTGGATCAAACATTCCCATCACCAGATACTTTTGGCTCATTTAAGGTCTCTAGCAGAAACGAAAAAAACTCTTATTTTACGAAAAGGGCAAGGATTTCAGATCAGCAGCCACCACATTATAAAGATGTAGTGTACATAAGAGGTCATTAAGCAAATGCACTGAAGATGCTCATGGTGTGATATGATGGAAGCCAAATCAAAAGGCTCAGTGGGACCACTTTACGCTGTGGCTGTTACACAACACAATTATTTTTCAAACCAGATATTTTTAGCCCAAAACAAGAGTACATAAATTTAGAACTAGTTTTCCGAGAAGAAGGGAAAATTATGTCTATTATCTTCAGGAAGACTGTTTTGATGCTGGTATACGGCAGGTGATGGAGAAAATAAAAGAATTTTATTCTGACACTGCTTATTCAGTTTTTAACCAGGCATTACTTCTAATCTCTGAGAGGAAGGGAAAAGGCACTTAGGAAGTAATTATGCCACTTTAGTAATCAGCTGAGATGCCCAGACAGCTAAATATTATAAATTATCATTAATACCTACTGATAAATATAAGTTTTGCACATTGTAGTCCTTCAGTTATTCAATTTCATACAATCTATCCATGAACAAGAAGATAGGGCTGCCAATTGTCCCATTCTAGTTCTGGAACTTCATGCTGGCTTTTCTTTTCTGGTTTTGATTTTCCCTTCTGTGGCCAAATATTAAGATTTTCATGTGCTGACAAAACTACCAGCTTTTTCAAGACCCCACCCTGAGTTGAGCATCAAAACTCATTTATTAATTCCCCTTTAATGCTTCTACTCAGTTATGCTTTTGGTTCCCAACAGGTAGGAACATGCAATTTTAATTAGGATATTAATTAAATGTTTCTTTGCTGATGAATGTTACAATGTCTCCTAGTTTAACTTCATAAATCCAATATGCAATTATTCCTGAAAAGAACTAGAGAGACCCCACCAGAATTTAAGGAAATAACTCAGGAACACCATAAATTTCCTAAGTTAAAACATTGATGTATACATATTAAGGGGAGAAATAACAAACTCTCCTCATTTTGAGCCTAATCTCAGCAAATTGCTAGGTCATCTGTAATACATAGCAGCGACAGAGCCAAGAGAATTGGCTAAAAATGTTAAGGCACAAAACTGTTGAATAATTGTACCATAGGCAAGGGTTCTGTTTGTATGGTAAATCTTAGGTTTTAATGGCCTATGTTTCTTGTTTCCTTAATTTGATACATTTTTTAATATTGTTTCCAAAACCTCTGCAACAAACCACATAAGTCTGAATTGTTTTCATTTGTAAACCATTTATAGCAGCAAATGCTTCCTTCCATGTGAACGTTGCCTCTGTGTTGGAGCCAGACAACACAACATTTCAATGCTTTGTTCAACCAAAGCAGTCAACCATGGTGTCATTTTGTGCAGTGCTCAAGCAGGTGACCCGACCCAAGAATTTAGCACAGCAGAGAAAGGGTGGATAAAAGCAGTTTTTGAAGAAGTGTAAAAACAGGCTGTTTTGTTTCCCCAGTTGGACGAAAATGTCTTCCTTGCGTGTCCCTTTTTTTTAGTAACTCTGATATTGATCCCTCTAATGTCCAAGGGCATTCGGTGGTTCAATAGTGCTGTCAAAGATGCAGATTAAACAAGACTATTGATCTACTGAGAACAAGGGATAACACACTCTTCACAGAAACCACCAACAAGTTGCCACCACTTCTCTGAGGTGAGGTCAACAAGCCTGAGATTCAGCCTGCTGGAAGCACCACAAGAAACCACGTGGTCTTCTTCTCTGGTGACGTAAGGCAGTGAGAACTCAAGACAACTAACTGCAGATCCTGAGGAGATCCATAACAGAGCATACTGGTTCATCAGCAACCCACTTCTTTCTAAGCAGGACCAAGTCAAGATTCCCATTTAGCCAGAACCGGTATTTGCTTGCTCAAAGTTTGCTGTTCTGCTGAAACTGGGACACCAAGGAGAGAACCTGCTCGGAAGCTTTGATCTGCTTAGTGCCACGATAGGTGGCGCTGTTGGCCATCGTGTCCTCCAAGAAGTAGCGATAGTTGACCATCATGCCACAGGAGGCTGTCATGCCACGGGGACTGGTGTCTGCCATCCAGTTCAGACGCCATAACACCGCACCGTTCTGAAGGTGGAAGTTCGCCACTGGGTTGAGCGCGTAGCCGCGGTGCTTCTCTCCGTAGAGATACCAGGCGCAAAGCCTCATAAGGGGCTGCTCTAAGACCCGAACCAGCTTTTCTGATTTCACCCACCCGTTGTTCGCGAAAAGGCGCTTCAGTTTTTCAGCAGCAGGGTCTCCCGTGATCTCAGAAATTTCTCGCAACTCGGGATCTGTGAAAGGCTTTCCCCAGCCCAGTTCATTGGATTGGGAGCACAGCAGCCCAATGAACCACTTGGTGAATCCCGGAATGGGAGACAAGGTGGAGAAGACTTGGATCTGAGGAAATTCAACCTGAGGATTTTCAATGTGTTCAAAACACATACACACACACACAAAAAAAACAAGAGATTTGGGATACGGCTGAATGAGGATAAAAAATCACAACAACAATACCAAACATTTAAAGCAGCAAGCACAAACAGGTTTGAGATGAGGCTATTTTCATCAGCAGATTATTGTTGCATGCATTTCATAACTTCATTTCAGAACCTGGGGAGATACACCTACTGCAGAAGTAAAACATTTCAGCTTAGGAAAATTCTTCATTTCTGGCTAATAAAATACCATCTGCCCAAATACTATACTTGCAATATGAGAAGCAATAAAACTACCTACAAAGCATCTCTAAAGCTTTGATTATCTATTTTTTCACTGGTACTAGATGTACTTTCAAGGATTTTTAATTTTTGTTGGGCCCTAAAAAACCTGTAGAGACACAGATTTGTTCAGCAGATAAAATCCTCCCCCACCCATTTCTAGCACTTCAATTTTAACAACCGAGCAGCTGAACAGCTGTAATACTCAGTTATCTTTCCAGAAACAGATGTTGTCTTTATTTGGCCCTTGTATTTCTTAATTTTTAGGAAATAAATTTGCAACCTTAACATGGATCTTATATTTGGGGAACCCAAGGCAATTTGGCCTCCAGTGTTAATTACAGTGATCATCTAATAGTAAGAAATGCATTTCCTTGTTCCACTTGAGTCTTTTCTCAAACCTTTTTCAATCAGAAAAAAATAATGTGTAGACATCTTTAAATTGTGAAGGGTTCAACTTCTAAATTGCATTTTTTTTTTTTTTTGCCATCTAAAAAAAGGGCATTTTACATAAAAAAATGCAGACACCAGTAGACTGGCCTGGATGACTCAAGGACACCGTGCCAAAATCCCTATTCTTCACAAGTCCATAAGCTGCTGGAAAAATAATTTAGTACTGCATAAAATCAACACGTTGGCCACATATTATCCTAAGCTATTATGTGGTTTGTTTGTTTTTAGCTTCTAAAATATGTGAATTCACTCATTACAGTTTAGTTTTCTGTGTGAACCAATCCATTATAGCTTGTTTAACAAATGTTTTAAAAAAAACCCTGGCTTTGTGTGTATGTGAACTTAGCTTATCTGTTATGTACAATGTGGGTGGCAAATGATGGGGCATTTGTGTTATTCATGAAACACAGAGACCAAATATACTAGCATCTTTAAAAGGGTAGACAAAACATGTCTTGATTAGCAATAAGCTCATCATCAGCCCCGGAACAAATGAGATTTACTGCTCACTTCTGTTGATCTTAAGAGGAGCTTTTGCGACACAGGTAGTCCTCGACTTATGACAATCAAGCCCAAACATTTCTGTCGCTGAGAATTTGTTATGTGAGTTTTACTCCATTTTACGACCTTTCTCACCACAGCTGTAAAGTGAATCATTGTCATAACATGGCTGTTATGCAAATCTGGCTTCCCCATTGACGCTTGCTTGTCAGAAAGTCGCAAAAGGGGGTCACGTGACTCTTGGACACTGCAACCGTCATAAATACGAATCAGTTGCCAATTTGAATTTTGATCACGTGACCGTGGGGATGCTTCAATGGTTGTAAGTGTGAGAAATGATCCTAAGTCACTTTTTTTCAGTGACTTTAAACAGTCACTAAATGCACTGTTGTAAGTTGAGGACTGCCTGTATAGTGGGGCTCATTTGAGACCCAGATAGAAATAAAAACTGGATTAAAAGAGATATTATTGCCACGGCCAAATCTATTCTTTCAGCAATCTGACTGATAATCAATATCCTGTTAAAGACACAATATTCACAAGTATTCTGATTCCCGTTTTAACTTTTCCTCATTCGGTTTCCAAAGGTCAAACTGCAGCTCAAATCTAAAAGAGTTAAGATCTGAATCGCTGCAGTTCAAAAGCCCAGAGCCTGTCTCGTCGCAGTCTGATATATCCGTGACAGCAATAATATAATATGTTCTTTTTCTGGGGAAATTAAAAGTTACAGAAGCTTGAAATTAAGTGATTTGGAATTAATCAAATAGATGAGGGAAAACAAAGCAAATAATGATATATCTTATTTTCCCCACATTGTTTATTCCCCAAAGGATATTTGAGATTCAACCGTGAGAAATGTATTACAATACATTAATATCTAAGGGAATGAACCCCAGCAAATGGAGCAGTACCAAGTAATTTAGTTTGGTATTTAAATGAGTAGGCTGCACTTTTAATAAAGCAAATGCTAAAGCGCCTGCCTCAAAACTAAAGTTTAGTTTATTTATTTATTTATTTATGAGACTTATATACCGCTTTAAGTGCAAGCACTCTCTAAGCGGGGTACACCAGTAAGCAATGTATATCTATATATTTACATTGCCCCCAACAATCTGGGTCCTCATTTTACCTACCCCGGAAGGATGGAAGGCTGAGTCAACCTTGAGCCGGTGAGATTTGAACCGCTGACCTGCTGAACACAGTCCACAATCTTCCACAACCATTCGCGAGTGGTTTCACTCAAGCCCTAACAGACGGTTCAAAAGTCACCCCCAAAAGATTTTCACATGCAATGATCACACGTTAAGTTTTTGGACCGGAACTTCCTGTGCTGTGGGATAGTGTTTCCAACCCCACCCCAAAGCTGGGTACATTGTGTATACAAGTCTCTAATGTTACCCAATTCCTTTCGGTTAAGGAGTGGGATAATATTAACGAATTACCTCAGACTAGAAGAACTCCAAAGTCCTTTCTAACTCTGTTATTCTGTTATTCCACAGGACTGGAAGATTGAGACCTAAGTTCTACCCTCCCACTGAGCTAGAGGGCTCAATTGTCTGACTTGGTTTAAGGCAGACCTGGGCATTTTACTAGGCCACCTCTGGCCCTTTGGCTATCCCGGTTCGGCCCACGTGAGATCACTGGAAATTAAAAAATGTAAATAGGTGTACATCATGCACACAATACAACTGCATTGCTTTTATTCCGAAGACAACTTTTTTCTCCCAATTTATGTATATCCGTGCATGCAAGTTTGCCTATATACCTTCACAATAATACGTTGGTCCTATTGGTTCGACCCTCCACAATGGTCCCAGGAGGAAAATTAATTGCCCATTACAGGTTTAAGGAAACTGCATTTTTTTGTGTTGCGTTTAAAATGCAAAAGCAAAGGGAGGGAGGGAGAAAGGAAATTAAATTAAATTCCAGGGCAACATCCTTTTTTGACCTACTTGCAGTTCTTTGACAACCCGCTTGATGAGGTGCGTCCCAAGCTCCACGCCCTGCAGGCCCTGCTGGGTCAAACTGATTGAGTAGAAAATTGCAGTGGTAATTCTGTCCAAATCTTCTGCTCCTTGCAAGGGAGGCTCTTTTACTATGGCCTAGAGAAAGATTAAGATAATGAACAACGGCCATCTGGGTTCGAATTCAAGCACACTCACATTCCACAGCACGACATTCACAGCAGAGGGAAAGATTTGTCTGCACACTCATATCGGCTCCGACTGTCAACGGAGCACTTGCTCTCTCTCGTGAGTTGCTTTACTCCCAAGTAAAGCTAAAGAACGGTACCTGGATAGTGCTGGATATTTCGTCCGTAAGTGCAACGTGCAAAATGACCAGGGGTTCTCCAGGTATTGCACAGTGGGCGAAATAGTAACACCTTCTGTAGGACCCAACACGGCGCTTCATATCCACCCAATTTCGAACAGGGTGCACAGCTTCACTACTAAAAAATAAAAGAGGATAGAAGGTTGCAGGTTTTGCTGTTCTTCTAAACATGGACAATCCAAAGAGCAACATAACCTTGAGGATGTACATGTGTCAGGTGGCACTAGATCAGTGGTTCTCAACCTTTTTAATGCCGCGACCCCCAACCGGTCGTAAATCGAGGACTACTCAACCGGTTGTAAGTCAAGGACTACTCAACTGGTGCAGCACCGTTTGCCGAATGGGACTTTTGGCGGGCTCAGCAGGGCAGAGACAGCCTGGACAATTCCTATTGGCTTTTGAAAGCCAATAGAATTAGACTCTATTCAAGAGAGTCTATTCTATTGGCTTTCAAAAGCCAATAGAATAAAAGGGAATAGCACAGCTAAGGAAAAGGGGGGGTGAAATGGCAGACTGTGTTGTTTGGAGACCCCCGTGAAATGGTCGTTCGACCTCAAATGGGGTCCCGACCCACAGGTTGAGAACCGCTGGCCTGGAGGAACGTTGTCCATGGGGTTGTGATGGGTCGGACACGACTTCGCAACTAACAACATACATACATTGTCTATCTCTGAAGCTTGTCTTTCTCAGAAAATTTGCAATTCTTGTAGATTTTCACCTCTCTTGACACGGGGGAAGGAGGACTGCATTGTTTGGCGACCCCCGTGAAATGGTCGTTCAACCCCAAATGGGGTCCCGACCCACAGGTTGAGAATCACTGCACTAGATGGTTTTAACTTGGGGAAATGCCACACAGCTCAACAATCTTTGCACTTACTCGCTAATCTTCTGAAGAATCTCGCAGGGAGACTGCCATGTAACCCGTTCCAAGTTTAAGAATCCAGTGGAAAACCATTCAGACAACATGTTCTTTAGGACTCCATTCATTTCCTACGAACAGAGAAGTTATTAAGGCTTCAGCAGCAGGGGAAGTCTGCTCTTGGGTATCTGAGAGATCTCCTCACACAACATCAAGCTCAACTCAATCTAAAAGTTGTTGGGGAAGGCTTGCAGACAATCCAATCTACACCTTTTACTTCATAATAGCACCAGATCTCTAGAATATAAAAGACCTCAGAAGCATTTCTACTGCAGCTGCTAAATTTTAAAAGAATGCCAGAGTTTCAATCTCTAACATTGCCTTGTCATATGCATCAGTTTAAAAATAATTCATGTATATTTTTTTTTAAAAAAATTACTAGTGTCTATGCACAGATGTGGGAGACACAAATATAAGATCTAATCTGAACAGTCTAAGCCAACGGATGAACAAAGAATCATTAAGAGTCTTTGTTGCTAAGATTTTACAAGTTACACTTCCTTATTCCATGACCATACTGCTAGCAGAGATGTTATAGTTATTAATTCCTGAAACCATGAGAGGCTGAACTAAGTGTTTGCAAATTGGATGGAAGTAGAATGGAATAAACAGTTTTTGCATTCATCTTCCATTCATCTCAGTTTAAGCAAGCAAACATAAAATGACTTGCTGTTGTTGTTTTAGAAAACAGCAATTTCACATTAGATTGACAAATGTCCCATTGAAGAAAAGCAACTCAAGTCAACCTCCCCTTTTAAGAGGTTTACTGGAAATAAAAAATGTATTAACATTTTCATGGACTGTGATCTTAGAACAATGTGAGTGAAGCAGAAATATCTGTGGCAATACTTTTACTAAACCAAACAGAAGCGTTAAAACAAAATATACTAGATAGCTTTCTTCGCCAAAACATTTATCTCAAAAAATTCAAAATAAAGGGTTTTATATCATAAAGCATGCTACCGTGTCCTCTAACTTGCTATACTATAGTATTAGATTTGTACACTGCCTCCAACTATTTATGGTTGATCATAAACTAGAGAGGAATGTAACTAGGTTATGTTCTAACCTTCTGGGTTAGAAGAGACAGTTTAAAGGTGGCTTAAAGGTTAAGTGCAAAAGAATGGAGGCCTTTGAACTATGGTGCTGGAGAAAACTCCTGTGAGTGCCCTGGACTGCAAGGCGATTAAACCGGTCAGTCCTAGAGATCAACCCCGATTGCTCTTTAGAAGGCCAGATCCTGAAGTTGAAACTCAAATACTTTGGCTACCTAATGAGAAGGAAGGACTCACTGGAGAAGGGCCTAATGCTGGGAAAGATGGAGGGCAAGAGAAGAAGGAGACGACAGAGAATGAGGTGGCTGGATGGAGTCACTGAAGCAGTAGGCGTTAAATGGACTCCAGAGGATGGTAGAGGACAGGAAGGCCTGGAGAAGTGGTTCTCAACCTTTTTAAAGCCGCGACCCCCAACTGGTCGTAAGTCGAGGACTACTCAACCGGTCGTAAGTCGAGGGCTACTCAACTGGTGCAGCACCGTTTGCAGAATGGGACTTTTGGCGGGCTCAGCAGGGCAGAGACAGCCTGGACAATTCTTATTGGCTTTTGAAAGCCAATAGAATTAGATTCTATTCAAGAGAGTCTATTCTATTGGCTTTCAAAAGCCAATAGAATAAAAGGGAGTAGCACAGCTAAGGAAAAGGGGGGGGGGGGGAATGGCAGACTGTGTTGTTTGGAGACCCCCGTGAAATGGTCGTTCGACCTCAAATGGAGTCCCGACCCACAGGTGGAGAATCACTGGCCTGGAGGAACGTTGTCCATGGGGTTGTGATGGGTCGGACACGACTTCGCAACTAACAACATACATACATTGTCTATCTCTGAAGCTTGCCTTTCTCAGAACATTTGCAATTCTTGTAGATTTTCACCTCTCTTGACACGGGGGAAGGAGGAGTTCCTTATGTCTTTCTTGGTGAATTCTCTCGCTGAAGTGTTCCCTAGAACAGAGGTCCCCAATCTTGGCCACTTTACGACTTGTGGACTTCAACTCCCAGAGTTCCTCAGCCACCATGGTGGCTGAGGGATTCTGGGAGTTGAAGTCCACAAGTCGTAAAGTGGCCAAGGTTGGGGACCCCTGCCGTAGAATTTCCAAAATCTTGCCTGACTCACAAAGCCCTAGCTGCTTGGTTAAATGTGAGGACCCGAGACCAGCATATTCTTGTGCTGTCCATGTTTTATGACTACTTTAACCACATAGGCACTGAAGAGCTTTATAGGCAATGAGATTTTTAAAAGGGCTTAGGGGGACATCATGCCTAGAAAGAAAAGCAAGGTCTCCTTGACACATTAAAAATAGATTTTCCTCCATGATGCCCAGAGGCACTTTCTGTCTACTTTAAAAAAAAAGAATCTTTTTTAGTAGATATTCCATCGCTGAACTCCGCCGGTGGACATGCCTAAACAGAAACACCTGGACCTAGGCCACAAGAATCTATCATCCACCACAAATTCAGCAAGACGACATTTACTGTTTCTTAGCAACTAGTCGCCAAGGAGCAAAGTCATTTTCCTGCACCGCTGCTCTTGATCCCACTGGCTATTTAACCTGAAAATGCTAACCTTCCACGCTGACACCCTCCTACTTGAGGGACATGCTGGCTCCCAGAGTATGAACCCGCTATGCTGGGAGCTAAAAACAAACAAACTAGCTTTGACGACCTTAACCTCTTCATCTTGCAAAGAGGAAAGCTGCAAATCATATACGGTTTAGTCATTTCTCAACACTTCTAATCCCCTGATGACCAAACCAATCTTGTTTATGACCCCCAACATACCAATACTTTGGCGGCCATTCAAATGGCACTGAAAAAAAAAGGGACTTGCAAGTGGTCTTCGCGCTTACGACCGCTGCAGCATCCCCACAGTCGTAGGATCAAAATTTGGGCCCTTGGGAAGAGGCATGTAGTTGCAAGCACGTGGTCACCATTTTCAACCTTTCAATTCAACTTCTGACTAGCGAAGTCCGGTTAGGTCCGGGTCACTTAACAACTATTTGAGTCACTGAACAGCTGCAGTGATTTGTTTAATGAGCATGGCAAAAAAAAAAAAAAAGGATCACAAAATCAGGTGCAGCGCACTTAAATGATTTGCCTTGCTTAGCAATGGAAATTCCGGTCCCGTTTGCGGTCGTGATTCAAGGATTACCTGTATTCAGCTACACACTGCTTAGAAGGGTGGCCATTGTGAACGAGAAGAAATCATGCAAGGTGTGTGTGATTAGAAGTGTGAGAGAAAGATACAGAGACACAGACACACACACAGAGAAAGAGAGAGAGAGAGAGAGAGAGAGAGAGAGAGAGAGAGAGAGAGAGAGAGAACTATTCAGCTCATGGGCTTATTCTATGTCCAGATGCATTGCCAAAGCAACTCACAGGATTGCTCAAGAACCTTGAATGTGGGACAAGGGTTACAACTTTGCAGTGATCTTGTCTAGTGCCCTGTCAACACCACACTCGTGACCTACCTGGGTAACCTCAGAGGATGCTCAGAAAAATACCTCAAAACAATTTCAGCAAAAACATAATTGTTCTTCTTTTCTGGAATATCCTGCAGCCTGCCTTATCTCTAGGCAAACCACAGGATCTTATTTAGATTACACCAAATAAAAAAAAATATTTAGATGATGGACGTTTCAGAGATATACAAAGCTGCCTTCACTGATAACACAGGGCTAAGTAGCTTATACAAAATTTGCCTTTTGAAAAGATTATACAAGTGACAGAAAAAAAACATGTTTAATGCTCTCTGCTTCCGGGACCATTATCGGACTGCTGTGAGGTGATGCAAAAGGGCAGTTTTAAAAAAGAAAAAAAAGCTGAATTAAAGTTATGAAAGTACAAATAAGTTGGTAGGTGTCAATTCCACTCAAATACTCAACTAAACTGAAATATTACACTATCAGATCCTTGCAAGATATTTCTCTAGCCATAAAGAAAACCCCAGAGTTCATCTCTAGGACACAGTCACAAAAGATAACACAAGAAACAAACCACAAACAGAACAAAAAGAAAAAAAAATAGAGATCTGATCATCCTCCGAATTAGATTAAAACTATAAAACTGTTCTCAAACTATAAGGGTCAACTATTCTACATGGTGTACAGAGCAAAAATGATTTTGTTCTACTAAATGCCAAGTACATGTCTTCTGGATGTGCACGAACTATTCTTTTATTATTAGAATTTTTCTCCTGTTAACCTGGTAAGCCACCCAGAGTCTTATGGAGTCACGCAGCCTCTCAACTGTAGAACTGAATAACTTTCACCACAAACCCTATTGAAGAAAAAAAAACAGCATTTGAAGGACACAGCTTGCATAATTATGTAGATTTTGTTTTGTTTTTTAAAAAACAACCTTTCCTGGCTGAAGCACAAATGTTTCTTGCCAAGGCCAAATTTTATTCTTAGCACCGCTATGCCCTGTCTCCCACATCAACAACATGTGCTGTTCCATCACACAGAAATTTGGCACAAATGCATGAACTTTGCTCTAGTTCTGCCTTTTTCAAGAGTATCAAACAGTGCACGCTGCCATACATATTTTTTCTCCAGTTACAAGCTGAACTGTCCTGTTCCCCAATGCACCTCATTCCCAAACAAACCGAGAATATAAAATATCTACAGTTTTGAAACATTTGCCCTCGATGAAAAAGAAATCTTTAGAAATTGCAATCCATCCTGTTACCAAATATCACCTATTTCACTATATACATCCCAAATCTCCATTTGAAGGTTGGGCAGGCCCAGACTGCAGTAAGGCTCCAGTTAGTTGAATTATTACAAACCAGCTTTTGCTCCCTTAAAACAGAACTTGGGGTAGTCTGAATAATCAATCGGATGCACATGGTATTTCGTTAGTGGTTTCATAAAATTTGTGGACAAGACAGCGTAAGTGCTTTAAGACAGGCAAGGTTATTCCTCTTTTGCCTTTGCTAAACATGATTGTGGATTTGGGTAAGAAGGATTTAACAGCAAATCACAGACCCCTGAGCACATCTGGATGACAGTGGCCTATCTCACAGGGCTGCTGTGGGGGTATAAAATGAAAGAAAGTAGTACCAGGGGAGATAAGCTAAGATAAGCTATGTTCCTAGAAGGAAGAAGCCTTAAGCCAGACATGTCAAACACAAGACCTGGGGGCCAGATGCAGCCCGCAAAGTGGTTTCATGTGACCCACGAAGCCATCCCGGGAACAGTGAGGGAACGGCCCCTGCTGCCTTGGCCTCTTCTTTGTGGCAGCCCCTCAAATATCAGAATACTCTTATGTCATCCCTAGTTTTTCTTTTCACAAGACCAGACGTATCCAATTCCTGCAACCGGTCATCATATGTTTTGGCCTCCAGTCCCCTAATCATCTTTGTTGCTCTTCTCTGCACTCTTTCTAGAGCAGTGGTTCTCAACCTGTGGGTCGGGACCCCATTTGGTGTCGAACGACCATTTCACGGGGGTCGCCAAACAAGACTGTCTGCCATTTTTTCCCCCTTTTCTTTGGCCATGCCCCTGGCACCCGGTGATGTATAAGTGGTGGGGGTCACCACAACATGGGGAACTGTATTATGGGGTCGCGGCATTAGAAAGGTTGAGAACCACTGTTCTAGAGTCTCAACATCTTTTTAACATTGTGGTGACCAAAAATGAATACAGTCTCTATCTAGGCCAGGAGCCAATGTACACTTTTGTGGTGGCCATCTACGATATGTGAAGTAGGTGAGGGCCATGTGCTGGCCACTTCCAGGCAATGGTGCATTTCTTCATTCCTCACGAAGGGTGACACCTCCCCAGCTGCATTTCTTGCCTTTTTTTCTCCCTCCCTCATCTCAGATATTTTTCCACTACTCTGTACTTGGGAAGGAAGGAAGGAAAGAAGAGGGAGGGTCTGAGGCAAGTCCTGCCCTGTTGCCCTTTCACCATCCCCTTGCCCCTCTTCCTGGCCTATCCTGGGGGTCTCCCATCCTATTGCTAAGGAAGCTTTGTATATAAAGCCGGGTCTCCTCCCATGGCGAGGGAATGAGCCTCCCTCTGACTTTGCCCTCGTACCCATCATGAGCAACCTGGGTAAGGAGAGCAAGCACAGCAGCAGCAGCCTTGAGGAGGAGGCAAGTGCAGCTGGGTGCCCCCTTGGGGAAGTGGGGCTGGGCTTGGTGCTGCGGGTGCTCGAGGGTCAGGCTCGGCATTGGACCTCTGCTATCCAGGGCTCCCGGCAGTCTGCACCACCATTGAGCCCCCCCGCATGGCCTGAGAGGAACAGTGAGGTTTCTCCAGTGGACCATGCCTTGGCACTTGCCCTGGTCCCACCCCCTTCTGCCAGAGACCCTCAGAACTGTCCCACTCCTGCCCAGGCCCCCACAGGCACCCTTGACGAAAATGATGTAGAGCTGGCCACGCCCACCCAGTAGGCCATACCCACTTCATCCATGCACATCCAGTAGGCCGCACCCACCCTGGCCACACACCCCCGGCTCCCCCCCCCCAAGGAAACCACAATGCTGATGCGGCCCTCAATGAAATTGAGTTTGACACGCCTGCCTTAAGCACTAGATCAGACTGACATTGCTGCAAGAACAGCACTTTCCTGTTGAATCTCTATCTGGCACCATTTCCAATGCAGGCCCACTAGCTGAACCTCTGCACGGCATCATCACCGGAATAGCACTTTCCTACTGAATCTCTACCTGACACCACTGGCAGAACAGTCCCTCCTGCTGAACTTCTACATGGCATCATTGCCAGTTCAGCCCCTCCTGTTGAACATATACCTGGCACCATTGCTGGCACAGCCTCTCCGATTGAACTGCTACCTGGCACCAATTACCAGAATTCCACCTGTTGCACATCTGCACAGCTTCCCAGCTGGAGTAATACCTTCCTGTTGAACATCTGCCCGGCACTACTGAAAGAAGAATCCCTTGTGCTGTGTCCCATTATACTTGGCCAATAAACTATTCTATTCTATTCTATTCTATTCTTATTTCATTCCATTCTATATTTTCTGTTCTATTTTATTCTATTCTTATTTCATTCCATTCTATATTTTCTATTCTATTCTATTCTCTTATTTCATTCCATTCTATATTTTCTATTCTATTCTATTCTGTTCTGTTCTGTTCTATTCTATTCTATTCTGCATTCTATTTCTATTATATTCTCTATTCCTATCCTATCCTTTATTCCATTCCATCTGTCCTATCCTATCCTATCCTATCCTATCCTATATTCTATTCTGCATTCTATTCTATTCATTTCTACCTACTTCTATTCTCTATTACACTGTACTCTGCTCTACCCGGCGCCACACAGCCCACCCACCCACCCGTTGACCCTCTGCCTGCCCCCCCCGCCCCAGCCCAACCCCCGCGCTCTCACCCGGGCCTGCGGGCCGGGGGCCTCCCGCGCGGCCAGCGCCTCCAGCAGGTCCCCGCGCAGCTCCACCAGGAAGCGCAGCCCGCCCTCCTGCCGCGCCAGGTGCTGGAAGAGGCCCCGGTCGCGCGGGGTCAGCGCGTGGCGCAGCCGGTCCTCGGCCTGCAGCAGCGCGCCGGGCTCGCCCTCCTGCAGCCGCAGCACCCGCGCGCTGCCCTCCGCCACCCGCCCGTGCTCCACGCCGAAATCGCCCGCCAGGCGCCGCAGCAGCTCGGCCCGCGCCCCGCCGCCGCCCAGCGACCGGTAGAAGCGCATGAACTCGGCGCTCAGCTGCTCCAGCGCCGCCCCGGCCGGCGCCGCCGCCTTCTCGCGGGTCTCGTAGGGCGGCAGCGGCGGGACGACCCGCCGGAGCGCCTCGTCCAGGCCCGGGTAGGCCTCGGTTGCCATGGCGACGGCGCTAGGCCGCGGCCGGCCGGAAGGAGGAGGAGGAGGAGGAGGAGGAGGGCCGCGCGCGAGGAGGCGGAAGAGCTGCTGCGGGGTCTCCCGGCAACGGCTCCAGGGGCGCATGCTACCCCTCCCCACACCCCGGCCGTGCTTCTCGCTGCCCTCCCGGCCTCGAAGTCCGCTCCTCGGGCGCGGCGGGAAGGAGAAATACTGGACGGATTAGCGGCGGGGGGGGGGGAAGCCTCCCGCCGCCCTCCTTGAAAGGTCGGGCGGACGGCGAAGCGGATTGGTCGCCTTCGGGGAGGGTCTGTCTCCCAGCGGCCAATGAAAAAAGAGAAGGGGCTGGAAGCTGTCAAAGGTGGATGACGTCACCGGCGGGCCATGGTGGGAGTGGCCTCATCGGCGGCGCTGCCGCCATGCTGAGAGTGGCAAGTTGCCCTAGGCCCCGCCCATCGCTGCCCAGATTTAAAGGCGCCTCGTCGGAATACTGGCGCAATAGTCGTGGCTGCGGATGATGGAAGTTGCCCTTCCAAATCCAGAGGCAGGTGGGGGGCAAAGCTAGGGACGGGATGAACTGCAATCTGTATTTCATAAAGCCGGCTTCCCTTGCAGATGTGTCCTGTATATTTATTTATATTTCATATTTCTTTACCGCCCCTCTCCCTGGGAATGATGGAATAGTTGAAAAAACTGGAAATTCTAATGCTATGATTAAAGCCAAACACCATCTTAGGAAAAAGAAAAAAAAAAAGTATTGCACCCTGCGATTTCATGGCACCTGTTTGATCAAATGCACAAAGTTCACCGTTGCCTCTTTTCCCATGTGGCAGCCCAAAACTGCTTCACTTAAATAAAACCCATGCAGCACAAATCATTAAATGTGCAAGCTACTGAAACTGCTTTTCAAATTTGGCCACTTCAAGATGTACAGATTTCAATTCCCAGAATTTCCTAGCTGGCATGGAGTAATTTCAACTCCCAGAATTCCGGGAGTTGAAGTCCACATATCTTAAAATTGAAAAACACTGAACTACAGTAAACCACCGGACTCACATCAAAGGATCTCGCTCAGCAGCCCTGAGCAAAAGCAGACCCACAACTATTTACCTTTGGTCCACTACATTACAAAAACACCACAAAGAAAAAGGCAAGACACAGTGGAGATTCTAGCATGACATTGGAATGTCTTTATTATTATTATTCAACATTTCCTAGGTACCAGATCAGCATTGCCAGCTATGCTATCTTTTGCGATATGGCCAGTAAATGTAAACTATGTGGTTTTCTTGGGTTAATGATTCCTGTCCAGTTCCTCCCACCTGTCGCTATTCAGGGTCAATGCAAACTTGTGAATGTTCTACTACAGGTTGACCTTGATAGCTTAATATATGTAGCTAATAGGGCTGGTAGCAAACACAGCTCCTGTGTACATTATGGAGAGTAACTTAAACTTCCATATCTACTAAAGCCTCAATGGAGTAGAAGGTAGTCCTCGCTTTATGACCATAATTGAATCTGGAATTATGATTTTAAGTCATGCTTATTGTTAAGCGAGTCACCACATGACTGTCTCCGATTTTACGACCTTTTTTGCAGCAGTCATTAAGGGAATCATTGTCTGCAATGAAAGCGGGGGGAGGGGTTTTGCCAGAAACTGGAAGTATATAAGAATTTCCTCCAAAAAATGCATGTTAAATCGTGGTCATGTGGCTGCAGGATGCTGCAAACAGCTCTAAATCCAAGCTGATTGTCCAGTGTCCAAAATGCAATCATGTGACCCGAGGGGCATTCCTCAGATCTTCAAATCCAGGTCATAAGTAACCTTAGGGAAGTCTGTGTAACTTCAGTCACTAAGGGACCAATCGTAAGTCTAGGACTGCCTATATGCAAGCAACAGAGCCAGTGTCCTTTAAAGTGCAAGAGGCACAGAACGTGATATTCTTACCCCGAGGCTCAAATGTGGGACATGTGAATTCAATCCCTGAAGCTCGGGGTCAAACATGCATGTCCTGTTCCTCATCTTTCATGCTGGCCTAAAACCAAAGGGGTTTATTTTTGAAGCATCTGGATATTATCCACAAATTCAACCCAGGTGGACTCTCCTGCCCTCATTGCCAAATCTCTGCTGAGTGTTGCACCCTCTGCAGAAACACCTCCTCAAAAGATGTATCCAGAGGGGCTGGAAACCTTGCTGGCCCCCCACCACCGAATGTGGGCTGACATTTCTCTTTGCCTTTCCCGCTGCCCTTTCCCTCCCTAACCGTCCTCCCCACTCCCTGCAAATTAAACTTCTCTTTGTAGATTCGGGATCAAATTAATTTCCCCCCCAGAACACAGATCGTGGGAGTGAAGATTTCCAAAGAGTTCGTAATTGAGCCCAACCACTTGCAGACTTTTCTGCTGGCAGAAGAGCTAAAATAACAGCTGGGTTCAAGACAGACAAAATCCTGTCGGAACATTAGCCCTCTAGAAGAATGGATGACCCGAAGCCCCTGGGAATCAACGCCTTTTATTACAAGAAGCCTGACATGAAGTAATCAGTTTTGGATTGTCCAGCCTTGACCTTAATATCAACCTTTCTGGCCCAATCTCTCTGTCCTCTGGACTCCAGAAAATTGCACTTCCGTAATGAAATTAGGCGGCGTGGAAAACTTCTCGTAGGCTGGCTTCAAAGTCAACTCCAAAAAGAAAGAAAGAAAGAAAGAAAGAAAGAAAGAAAGAAAGAAAGAAAGAAAGAAAGAAAGAAAGAAAGAAAGAAAGAAAGAAAGAAAGAAAGATTAAGAGGTCCTTGGTGTTCTCTGAGTTTGGTTGATTTCTTGCAAACATTTCATTACCCAAACCAGATAACATCATCATTGCTAGTGATGTTACCTAGTTCGGGTAATGAAACATCTGCAAGAAAATAATCAAGCACAGAGAGCACTCAAGGACCCTTCATTTCAACCCTGAGCTACAAATGCTCTCCTTTTCAGGGGAAACTGGCGTCTGATGGAAATTGTGAATGGGTTCACAAGAAGCAATGTAAGACCATTGATTCATGTTATCCTGGTACAGTGGGGAAACCAAGTCAATTTGCTTGGAAAATAAGGTTTAAGGCTTAGTATTAAAACTTGAGGATCCTGCCCTGCAACCATCTGGAAGACCTCAGATCTGCTAAATCAGATGGGAATAACTGTGTCTCGGAAAAGGGAGGGTGTAGGAATGAAAGTATTAAATTGAAACTAAGGCATGGTTTTCTGGATCATGCTTCTAATGTTCAGAATATACTGCATTACAAACCTTTTGCATCTACCCAAGCGTTAGAGATCACCAAATCTACTAAGTCCAAACTAAACTCAGTGATTATAACTCACCATGGTAAACAAACAAAAAGTTAAAGTCTCCTAGACTTCATACAACTTCTAACCTGACCTGGATTCTTCAGCCATCTACAAAGTAAAGGAACTTCTGTTTTTTTTTTTAAACAAAATTTTATTGAGTTTATATAGATAAGGAAAAATAGGAATAGTAAAGGGAGGGGTGGGGGGAAAGGGGAAGGGGAAAGGAATAAAGGATTTAAGGTAAAGTAAGGATAGGTACAATCACACATTTCAACAAACAAGCTACTGTCCGGATCATAATAGTGAGTAAATATCATATTCAGCCATTTTTACTGTAAGTTTAGACTATAACATATTAAAAACAATTAGTAAACAAATACATTGATCTATTAAATAAACACTACTAATAAAATCTCAAAAAATCCTAACAATCAAGAGTAACAAATGAAAATCAGTAAATTACGAAAAATAATCATATCATCAACATGTTAGTCAGAACTCGGTTAAAAACCAGTCATCTGTTCTAAAATATTGAATCCTTCAAGTTCTAATGTGTCTCTAACCATTGATAAAAATTTTCCCAAGTTATAAAATAAATTGAATCATCTTTTTCTTTCATCTCTAATGTTAGTCTATCCATTTCTGCACACTCTAAAATTTTAGTAATTATAATCTGGTCAGATGGTAAATTCTCATTTTTCCAAAATTGGGCAAATACTATCAAAGTAAAGGAACTTCTAATGAAGGGATGCTAGGTGCCTCTGAAGAAGACCGTCATCTGTGCAGGAGGGACCATTTGCATCCCATTGGCAATGGATGCAAACGTGTGGCTGCACAACAGAAGATCTCAAGAGGTATCTGAATTCTGGAGCTAGAAAGTCTTAGCCAGGAGTGTTCAACCTTGGTAACATTACAACCTGTGTACTTCAATTCTCAGAATTCTGGGAGTTGAAGTCCACATATCTTATAGTTGCCAGAGTTGGAATCCCTATCTTGTCCGTTAATGGGAGACCCAGAGAGAATCTGAGGAGTCTACATTATTGGATTTAACTCCACCACTTTTTAGCATCTCTAGACTGCTAGAGAGGTTTTAGGGTGTTTTGCTTTGCTTTGAAGTGTGTGAGCTTATTACAGCATTAAATAAAAATAAATAAAAGGCATTCTTATTACAAAGAGAGACAAACAGTAACTACATTAGAGGCTAAAGCTGTTAACGCCTTTTTATGACATCTAATTTCTCTTCTACTTCATACTCAAAATCAAAGGCTTTTATTCTCCTTGACACTGTTTCTTCATTGTGTGTGTCAGCCGCTGTGTGCATGTGTCTATGTGTATATTAATGAAGAGGGGTTTTTCCCACTCACACTGAGGCAGACAAATGGTATTGTCAGGGAGACACAGGATTTTGTGTTCCTCTCTTTCATCCTGGCTGGCAAAGCGTTTTATAAAGATGATTTAATGTGCCACGAGGCTAGGTAGCTGCCACGCTTAATCCTTATATGTCTGCTTGAAACAGTTTTCCAAGGCCATTTTTATAGGTTATTCAAAGGAACCGACGCCTGAATCGTCTTGTCTACACCCATTTCTGAATTCCAAGCTGGATTAAAGAATTTGAAAGACCCAACCACATCAGGAATAATCCAGCTTAATCCCCCAGTCCTGTTCATCCACGGTTTGTTTGAGCAAGCCACCGTGATCTAGCTCACACACCCAGAATTGAGTTTTTCCTAATGAGGGGGTCATCAAAGATGAGCCCAAGGATAATTTTCTTTTCTCCAAGTTTTCCATGGGGCTGTCTCCCCATAAAAATGCACGCAGCCCCTAATATTTTCTATAGTTCATAAACAAACCATGGCTGAATTCCTGGATAAATCTTTAGCCGTTCATAGTTTTAAGAGAGGGGGTTCAGTTGCATGTTCAATATTGGGTTCATG